CCCCAAAACCCCAAAACCCCAAAACCCCTGGCTGGCAGTAGCCTGTTGAAGTAGATTTTAGGGTATAAAATTTGAGAATTTGTACTGAGAGGGTGGGATGAGATGGAAGGAATTGGGAGATGGAGTGGGCTGGTAGAGATTTAGGAGAGATTGAGTGCTTTTGAGGTGTTTTAGAGGTGAGGGGAAGGGAATTAAGGCTAGTTTGGATCTGAGTGATAGTGTTTGATTAGATTGAATGGAAGTGTCTAGGCAAGAGGTCAGTGTTTGGGCACATTGTTTTTACTTGGAAGCTTCTTTTAGGTCTGGGAAATGACCCAGCTAAAGCTCAAAAGTAATTCAAAGTAGCTTGTCCCAAACATGAGGTTCATGCATGAGAGCTTAAATTTAATCTGATCAATCACTATCTCTCAGAGCTAAAGTAGGCTTAACTTTCTCTATCAGAGGTATCTCTTCCCCTCGTCTATAAAATACATTGAAAACGCTCAACTTTTTCCTCAGGCAATCTGTTTCTTGCCTGGTTTAGTTTCTACTAAATGTTTGAGAAATGAATAATAAGCTTCATAAAATTATTTTAGGAACAATTCCAAACGCCTTAATAGTAATATTTAGCAGAGCTAAAATAAGTTTATGTGTGGGTTGTAGAATTCTGGCTTTGGATGCGCTATTGGGAAATTCAGTGGGGCTTTACGGATTCTTGGCACTCCAACGGTCAGATTCTGTGGAACATTACTTCCATTTGGCTGAGAGATTCCAGTTGGATGGGTCTTTAGGCTGGGTGAAGGCTTCAAGTCAGTAGAAGAGAGGTTTTGAATGGCTTTTAAGTGGTTCTTGTACGGGCTTGGGGCAGGGATGGGATCAGCAAGGGAGGAAGAGGCTCTTCTGTGGTGAGAAGGGTTCACTGGGGCCTGGATGTGGGGATTTGGAGGGGTCAGGGAGTCTTTAGAGGCAGGAATTAAGGTCTTTTTGGCAGAAGTTGTGTATGAATGGGGCTTAGGAATGTCACCAGAGCTCTTATTGTTAGAAATACGGGTTTGGTTGATTTTATCAGCAGGCTTCATTTCACGGAGATTGTTTAAGCTCATTCTTATGCTACTATTTCGCTTAACTATCGGCTTATTTGGCATCATCTTGTTGAAATATGGATTCACATGCTTTTGCATTTTTCTCTGATGTTCATCTATTGTTGCATCTATCCCACTAGAATGTTTCTTTGATAAAAACGAGGATGTTGAGTTGATCCCAGGGATCATTGCCATTCCTTTGTAAGGAGACTCATCAGTATTGCCAAGCGTTCTAGAGTCAATATTCTGGCCAATCTTAAAGAAAGAGTTATTGCTTTGTCTTCTTTGCCTAATCTGGTCCTGCAGGATCTTCCTGAATTGCAGCTTCTTGAGGGATTCTACCTTCTTCCTTTCATTGAGGGAGTTTTGGGTTCTGTCTCTTGAGAAGCTATTTCTGAATTCGATATCTTGGTAGCTATCGTTAAAGCCAGGCTGAGGATACTCCTGAGACCCTTCGTTAATCTTGTGATCTATCTCATCTTTTCGAAGTTCGGTGGTACTGCGGTTCAAATGTTTGATCAAATTTTGGTTCCTCTTCATCTGTCGTTCGTTCATTTTTACGAAGTGTTCCTGATACTTTTTCTCGCGATCGAGCTCGTCCATGGATCTTTGGAGGAACATGCTGTTTAGCTCGTCTTTTTCTTTCAGGTACATCTCTTCTTGGATCTTACTTCTGCATATTCCTGGTATTGATATCTAAATTGAAGCTGAGATTGGGCAACTACCTTCTTTGAATTCCTTGCGATAATTTTTGAGAAGTCTTTCCCTTTCATTTTTCTCCTTTTGCAAACTCTTTTGAGCTATTTTGACAAGATTCTGGCCTTGGAAGACATCCTGGTCCCTCTCAATGCTCCTTTTATGCTCTTTATGCTTGATTGACTGGCCTAGCTCATAGGCTAGTTGATGTCTGCTGGTGGCTTCGCTAGCTTTTACTTCGTCTCTGAACTTCTCATAATTCTCTAAAGGGATTACCGACCTGGATAGATACTGTAACGCTGTCTCAGTTTGTTCATTTCATCATTTTTCTCTGTTTTCTGTAACATTTTCTGCATTTCATGATCATTAAGCGACCTTTGATACTCTTGGTTAAGGTAGTTATTTTTGTTCCCTTTGGAACTTCTTGTCGTTCTCTTGGATCTGTTGGATGAACTTACTCTGTGATTTCGCTTGACCTCTCCAATCTTGTAAATCATAGGCTGAAGAAATATCTGGTCTATGGTCGTATGTATAACTTTTTTGTAAGTCTTTGTTCATTTCGGAGCTTATCAATATTTATCGCTTAAAATTTATTCAATAAAAATAATTTCCTGGGGTTTTGGGGTTTTGGGGTTTTGGGGTTTTGGGG